GTGGTCCCCAACCCTTTTACCTAAGGGACCCCTTTTTTTTATCATTGACCATACTGACGACCCCTGAGTGAGATCGATAAGATATAACATTAACAGTAGATAACAACTGATAAACTGTACAATGAATCCAAACAGTGAACCCAATAACCGCAGGAAGTTTGTGTCAAACAAGTGGTTTAGATGAATTATGAGCAGATTATTTCTATACTTTTTATACAATTCTCTGTATGTATGAGCGAGGATACACAGGTGTATCCCTTGCGGAAGTCTTTGTAATGTTTTCGGTACCTGTGATGCATAAAAGAGGCATGACGCACAGCTGGAACATAAAGAACCACCTATGGATGGGGCGTAACAATTGGGGGCTTGATCCGTGAGGTGAGGTATAAGTGTCACGTTTTTGAGCTTAGTAGTCATTTCTTTTGTTAGACAATTTGCAGTTGTTTGTAGGTTAGTCAGCCATCTCGATAGATAGATAGATAGATAGATAGATAGATAGATAGATAGATAGATAGATAGATAGATAGATAGATAGATAGATAGACTGACTTTATTAATCCCCGAAGGGAAATTGGGTCGTCATAGCAGCCAGGTACTTTTAAATACAATAAAATATTTAGATAGAAATTATTAAAAAAAAGATAGATAAACAGGTAGGTAAGGTGCAAAGAAATTGTAGTTACAAGATGGTGGTAATAGTACTGATGATATGATGGTAGTGTTATTGTTAATAACAGTATATAATAATATTATTAACAATAATAATATTAAAGCTGCAAGCAGCGTTGGGCGGGACCTCGCACTCCATGCAACTCGGGGCGTGCTGCGGCCACGTCACATGCCATCGTAACACATGCGGACCAAAACATGAAATTTCACGTAAATCAGCTCAAAATTGCCACGCAGCGCTTACTTCCTGTTGCCAGTAGGTGGCGCTATCACTATGTCTTAATACTGTCATGTAGACAAGTTCAGGGCGGGACTGCTATAACACACGTGAAGTTTCATTGAGATTGGACCACGTACGCTGAAGTTATGAGGACGTGTTCAGGGCGAGACTGTTACAGAATATATCAAGTTTATTGGAGATTTGACATTGCACACTGAAGTTATGAGTGCTGTTTTATGGCAAATCGGCTGAATTTGACAAGTCGTCACTGGCACGGTCATTTCGCGTAACTCAGCTCAAAATTGCCACACAGCGCTTACTTCCTGTTGCCAGTAGGTGGCGCTATCACTATGTCTGAATGTTGTCATGTAGACATGTTCAAGGCGAGAGTGTTATCAAACACGTGAAGTTTCATTGAGATTGGACCACGTACGCTGAAGTAATGAGGACGTGTTCAGGGCAAAACTGTTTCAGACTATATTAAGTTTATTGGAGATTGGACATTGCACACTAAAGTTATGAGCACTATTTTATGGCGAATCTGCTGAAATCAACAAGTTGTCACTGGCACGCGGTTTGATGTACAGTCACAAATAGCTCAACTTTTCAGTTGACCACAAAATTCAAAGTGGCCAACTTTGACCTCATGCCACAGACACACTGTTCAACGTATAGTCTCAAAGCACAACTTTTAATCAGCACCATTTTTTGACTGTGCTGACCAATTTTGAAGTAGATCCGATAAATTCCCTAGGAGGAGTTCGTTCAAATACAAGGCGAAAAATTCACCAAAAATGCGCATGGAATTCAAAATGGCCAACTTTGAGGGCACACCGCGGACACGCCCTTCAACATACATGCACAAATAGCACAACTTTTAATCAGCATCATTTTTTGACTGTACTCACAAATTTTGAAGCATATCCAATAAATTCCCTAGGAGGAGTTCGTTCAAATACAACGCGAAAAGTTTGCCGAAAGTGAAAATTAAAATCAAAATGGCTGACTTCCTGTGGGGTTTTGTGTATGGGTCCAAGAGGCTTTTTTGTATGTCCCGGCATGTTACACGTGCCTACTGAGTTCCGTACATATCGGTGAAACGTGGCGCCGGGGCTGCTTTTTTTTTATCCTGTAGGGGACGCTACAAACACGACAAACACGATTTTTGGTATGTGAGCTTCAGGCACCACTCTACACGTGCCCTGTGAATTTTGTATTCATAACTATTACGGTCTCCGCACAGTGATTTATCATGCCAAAAGAGCGTCACCTATTCATTTTAATCACACGTGCCATTGCAGAGAAATAAACTTCTTCATTTTAACAAGCGCCACCTAGTGGCAATGACCTGAAATTGTGCAGGATGTCTAAGAAAGACATGAGTAACTATGGACCCAAGTTTGGTGACAATCGGCCATAGCAATGTGGATAAATGGTCCACTTCCTTTTTTGACGAAAAATCCACAGGAAGTGTTAATTTTATAACATGCTTATTTTTTTTTATATCAAAATTCTTTAAATTACTTTTTTATTACATGCTACGTAAAAAAAATTGTGCGAATCGGACAAAGCGCATGGGAGGAACACGGAAAAGTAGTTTATGGACATTTCGCGCTCTAGAAAAAAAAAATTCTAGGCGGAAGTGGGCGGGGCTTACATGGAGAGATTCATTTTTGAATGTGTGACAAACTATGCAGAAGTTATTAGCCTAAACGCATTTTTTATGATAGTAGCGCCACCTAGTGGCCAACCTGAAAGTGACGCATAGAATATCCCCATTTTCACCAGGCCTGACAACTTTGCCAAATAAAATTGAGTTTTCGTATATGTTCAGGGGGGCAAAAATGCAGTCAAAGGGGGCTAAAAATAATATGTAAGAAGAAATCGAGCAAAAACATTAGGGACCTCCAGCGCCCGCTGGAAGTCCCTATTGTATTTGCTATGTTTCTTCTTCTTCTTACCTATTATTTTTAGCCCCCTTTGACTGCATTTTTGCCCCCCTGAAGCTCACATACCAAAATATCGTGTTTGTAGCGCCCCCTACAGGATAAAAAAACAGCAGCCCCGGCGCCACCAGCTGGTATGTACGAAACTTGGTAGGCACGTGTAACATGCTGGGACGTACAAAAAAAGCCTCTTTTCGCGTTGCATTTGAACAAACTCCTCCTAGGGAATGTATTGGATATGCTTCAAAATTTGTGAGTACAGTCAAAGAATGGTGCTGATTAAAAGTTGTGCTATTTGTGCATGTACGTTGAAGGGCGTGTCCGTGGCGTGCCGTCAAAGTTGGCCATTTTGATTTTTTTTTTCATTTTCTGTGATTTTTCGTGTTGTATTTGAACGAACTCCTCCTAGGGAATTTATCGGATCTACTTCAAAATTGGTCAGTACAGTCAAAAAATGGTGCTGATTAAAAGTTGTGCTATTTGAGACTGTATGTTGAACATGTTGTCTGTGGCGTGAGGTCAAAGTTGGCCACTTTGAATTCTGTGGTCATACAAACTGAAAAGTTGAGCTATTTGTGACTGTACATCAAACCGCGTGCCAGTGACAACTTGTCGATTTCAGCAGATTCGCCATAAAATAGCACTCATAACTTCAGTGTGCAATGTCCAATCTCAATGTAACTTCACGTGTGTTATAACAGTCCCGCCCTGAACTTGTCTACATGACAATATTAAGACATAGTGATACTACTGGCAACAGGAAGTAAGCGCTGCGTGGCAATTTTGAGCTGATTTACATGAAATTTCATGTTTTGGTCCGGGCGTGTAACAATGGCACGTGGTGCGGCCACAGCACGCCCCGAGTTGTGTGGAGTGCAAGGTCCCGCCCAACGGTGCTTGCAGCTTTAATTTCGTCTTGTGTTGGTTAAAAGCTGAGCAGCTGCAAGTTGTACCAGCTGGAGGTGCGAGATGGCTTTTTGGCATAACCATGAGTGCAAATAATTAAATATTCCAATCGAGAAGAAATAAAGGCACGGATGACTTTCTCAAGGTCAGGCCGCCAGAAAAAAACGACCTGATCTTTGAGATACTCCGTAATTGATAAAAACATGTTAGAACAACATTTGTGATTTTATTTTTAAAACCAAGGTCACCATCAAATATTACACCCAGGTTTCTGGCTGCAGGTTTGATATTTCACAACAAGGATCCAAGATGGACCAGGGATGGACCTTGGGGATAGCTTTGAGGTCTGACAGAAATCAGTGTTATCAAAAGTAAAACCAGAGGACATGACAATGTCTGGGGTGCGTCCCTTTAAATGTGTGGGGGCCTTCCACTGCCTGAGTGAGATTAAATGAATGCACAATGTCTAAAATCCATAGTAAAAGAGGAACCGGAGGGGCTGCAGGGCTGTAGGTTAAAATCACCTAAAACAAGGCATACTAAAAGACCAGAAGATTCCTGAATGAAACCAGACAGTAATATTACAGAGTAGATGGCCCTTGCCATTTATGATAAAACCATGTCATTCAAATGAGGAGAAATTTCAAAGTAAAAACAAGGAACAATTAAAAATTTCACAGCTAGTCCACCTTAACGACCTGAGAACGACCCTGCTGAAAATTAAAACCAGGACAGCATGCTTAATTTAATGCAACACAGTCGCCAGGGTTTAACCAGGTCTCAGTCAGCATAAAGAAATCTAAGTGCCTTATTAGAATTAAATCAATGCAGAAAAAATATTTATTTTATTTCTGCCAGTGATCTGACATTTAATAGCCCAAAGACTACTGAGGTATGAGATTGGGATGGACTAACCAGGGAGGCATAAGGTGATGCAGCACAGTTAAGGATAAAGACATGGTTTTAACTGTGATTAGATTGCTTCTGTACGGACAGTATGTATGGGCTGAATTTAAATTTAGGTGTTACACATTGCCTTTCTGTAATTCTAACAAGAAAATGATAAGTTAGTGTGAGGGGAAGCAGTTCTTGCACTGTCAGAGGCACTACTACTACTAGACCCACAGGCTTGAGATGTGTCAGCTGGGAAAACAGCTCTGTGTCTCTCTGGTCGCTGTAATCATTCGTCCTCTCTACACTGCCTGTGAAGCAGTGATGATTTTGTCAACAAAAACTTTTCATGATGACAATATGAAGGAAAAAATTAGAACTATTCTTTATTTGTTTTTTATTCTAGGATCCCCATTAGCTGTAGTTTGCTAGCCCTCTTCCTGGGGTCCACACACAAAAAAACGTACATACAAAGAAAACACATAACACACATGTAAGTCTATGTAAGTAAGACCATACAAAGGCACATTAAATATTACAATACATCCAGTTACAATCCATTTTAGTTCAGCAAACAGTGGAATTATTTATTATTATTTACAGTTTTTTTTTAAAGAAATATTTTAAAACTTAATTGATGAAAGTTGGTAACTGGTTCCACAATGTGATGGCTCCATGATGGTGAACAATGATGAAATGTATTACATTTTTCATCAAAAGAATTAATTAAAACTATAATGTAAGATAGATGGATGAAATAAATAACATGTGTGACTCAGCAGTTACATAACGCAGATTAAGCTATATATCAAATCTGTCACGCTTAAGTCTATCAGAATGTTTACAACCTGACCTTTGCCTTTGACTCAACTAAACTTTCATCTTAACCTGTCTGTGATAACCTCGCAAGATCACGGAATCACACGATCAAGCTAGAATCCATCTTGCCAGGCTTCGGTCTGTAGCCAGACCATGCTAGGTGTGATGCAGTAAGAAGACTGTTTGTGAATCAACAATGGTGGCTCCATCCAGTTGCACGTTCAAAATAAAGCACAGTGGACAGTATCTTGACCTTTTTAACACCAGATCATTGTTAAAAACAGATAACAGGAAGAGTTGAGTGCTTAAGTGTCAGTTGGATCAATAAAGACCATGGGTTGGTTATTAGGGGTGTAAGAAAAGATTGAAAAATATCATATTGCAACATTTTGTTTTGTGATATTTTTTCTTGAAAACACTATCGATTTTTGTGTTTAAATCCCCAATGGCTAGATAGCAGTGTTGTAGACGTAAACTGAGACATAAGATGTTGGATGTTGCAGGGACTGTGATCAATACAAAGAATCGCCAGATTCTTGCAAAGAAACAGGCCTAATGCATATAAGGGTTAAATGCAACGTCCTATCACAACATATGTGAAGGTAAGAGACTTGGAAGTATCCCTTCACCATGGCTCATTTGTTAAACTAGTTATAATAACGGATCAGAAATGTGTATACTAACTAGCAGCCCTTACTGTCTGACTATATGAGGTTTGATTCTGTATATTATTATTTTTTCTATTTGCACATTATGCAGTGTATGTATATATATATATATATATACATACATACATATAGAATTTGAAGGTACAGAACATTGTGCAGGAAAGTTTTGATACCTCCCCCTTTATAAATCTAGTCACAGTTTAAAAAGATAAAAGCAGATAAAAACAAAGAGTGTATAATACAACATTCAAGCAGCTGAAAAACAATATTAAAAGAAATGTACAATTATTTTACCAGGTAAAATACATATATTGAGATCCATAAAGTGTTGTGAATCTTTGCTTATTAAGGACCTTTGGATGTGTTTTTTAAATCAAGATATGGTAGATATTGACTGTGGTGATGGAAGTAGATTGTTCCAAAGAGATGGTCCTCTGTATTTGAGTGAATATTGATTAAGCGAAGACCAAGAATGGAGAAGCTACAAAAAGATTCTGGAAGGCGCTGACCAAGTCTTGACTTAGGTGTACATATTTATACAGCAACACACAAATAGAAGTCTGTAACACAGTGTCCTCTAGTCTTCTTCTATTCATATCGAACACACTTTAAGTGATTTTTGAAGAAGTGGAGCTGCAGTTTGAAGTCCTCATCACTCTTTTGAGGGTGTCTGAACCTGACGTAGCGAGCCTCATCCTTGTTTTGAGCACTATGGGGCTGATGGCCAATGGACACGTGGCCACAGCTGGCGACCAGCAAGGAGCCCAGCCCATCCATAAAGAACTCTAGAGTCAGAGACAAACATTTGCCCTTTTAAAACAACAGCAGCTTGTATCATGGTCAACAATACCTAAAAGACTGTGGACTCACTGCCACTGCTAACTCTGTCTGCATCTGGACCTACCTGAGTGCGCTACCCTCTTTAGTTTAGGGTCAAATCGCACCCTCTGTACGGCATCTGTACGAGCCAGGAAGAAGTTAACCACCCCACTGGCCAGAGAGCATTGTGGGTAACCAGGAAGAGGGTGGAACTTCTGCTTAGATTTCCTATCCAGACAGCCGCCTTCCATTTCCTCACCTTCTTCATAGTGAAGATAGAAGTAAAACTGGTTCCCATCTACTTTCCCACCCAGCTGATAAGAAGAGAGACACCAGAGAATTGGTTAGAAAAAGGTCCTTTGTGTACCTGCCCCTAGCCCAACCCTGAACAGAGCAAGGCAGGTTCATAGGAGGTTAAACAGTGAGGTGAGATGAGTTACAAATGAATTTAAACCTTTCAAGCAAAGTGAGTAACATAAAGCTACAAGAACTCCATCGAGTACATGAGACAAATAACAATACACTCACATTATAATAACATTTTACTTGATGTACTTGATGATTATGTGTTGTTACCTGTGTTGTGTTTAAATGTCCGTGCTGTGTTTAAATGTCTATCCTGTGGTAATGTGTGTATATGTGTGTCGGGCTCCATGTCGTAGGGTGTTACAGTGGTCTAACTGTATTAGTTTAATCAATTAACGGTTATCAAAATTTATAATTATCAAAAGATAATAGAAAATTACTTTAATTAATATTAAAGATCCTTGGGGCACAACCCTTAAATAAGGGAACGATAACTAATAATCGATTGATCAGTTTCATAAAAATACACTAAACTATTAATTTAGAAGTCAGATTAATAATTAGGGACCGAGCCAGCGACTGCTGGAGGTCCCTATTGTTTTTGCTTCGTTTCTTCTTCTTATTATTTTTAGCCCCCTTCGACTGCATTTTTGCCCCCCTGAACATATACGAAAACTCAATTTTATTTGGCAAAGTTGTCAGGCCTGGTGAAAAATTTGATATTCTATGCTTTTTCGGGTCGGCCACTAGGTGGCACTACCATTGAGAAAAGTATTTTCACTTTTTGGTTACTTAATAACTTTTACATTTTGTCGCACATTCAAAAAACTTATATCCAGGCGTTCGGTGAATGGAGCTGAATCTCTCAATATAGGCCCCGCCCACTTCCGCCTATAATTTGTTTTCGTTAGAGTGAGAAATGTCCTTAAAGTACTTTTACGTGGTCCTCCTACACGCTTTGTCCAATTCGCACGAAATTTTTCACCTAGCACCTGGGGTCTGCCCTGGCAAACAAAGTAATTTGAAAATTTTTGAAATTTCAAAAATAAGCCCCTCTATAAAATTAAGACTTCCTGTAGATTTTTCGTCAAAAAAGGAAGAGGACCATTTCTCAACATTGGTTTGTCCTATTGACACCAAACGTGGGTCCAAGTTCCTCATGTCTTCCTTAGGCACCGTGCACAATTTCAGACCATCGCCACTAGGTGGCACTCTTTAAAATGAAGAAGTGTGTATCTCTGCAATGGTACGTGTGATTAAAATGAAACTTGGTAGGATGCTTGCCCATGGCTCCCTGAGGTTCACTTAAAAAGGAAAAAAAATCAGGCCACTGGGTGGCGCTCTGGTGGCAGGATAAATAACTGTGCAGAGACCGTAATAGTTATGAGTATGAAATTCACAGGGTACGTGTAGAGTGGTGCCTGTAGCTCACATACCAAAAATCGTGTTTGTCGTGTTTGTAGCGCCCCCTACAGGATAAAAAAACAGCAGCCCCGGCACCACATTTCACCGATATGTACGAAACTCGGTAGGCACGTGTAACATGCCAGGACGTACAAGAAAACCTCTTGGACCCATACCCGAAACCCCACAGGAAGTCGGCCATCACATTTGGCGAACTTTTCGCGTTGTATTTGTACAAACTCCTCCTAGGGAATTTATCGGATATGCTTCAAAATTTGTGAGTACAGTCAAAAAAAATGGTTCTGATTAAAAGTTGTGCTATTTCAGATTGTACGTTGAACGCCGTGTCTGTGGTGTGAGGTCAAAGTTGGCCACTTTGAATTCTGTCGTCATATGTATGACAAAGTCATACAAACGTCATACAAAAGTTGAGCTGTGACTGTACATTAAACTGCGTGCCAGTGACAACTTGTCGATTTCAGCTGATTTGCCACAAAATAGTGCTCATAACTTCAGTGTGCAATGTCAAATCTCCAATAAACTTAATATATTCTGAAACAGTTTTGCCCTGAACATGTCCTCATAACTTCAGCGTACGTGGTCCAATTTCAATGAAACTTAACGTGTTTGACAACACTCTCGCCTTGAACATGTCTACATGACAACATTCAGACATAGTGATAGCACCACCTACTGGCAACAGGAAGTAAGCGCTGCATGGCGATTTGAACTGATTTAGGTGAGATTTTCATGTTGTGGTCCGTACGTGTTACGACGGCACGTGACGCGGCCGCAGCACGCCCCGAGTTGCGTGGAGTGTGAAGTCCCGCTCAAAGCTGCTTGCAGCTTTAATTAAATTAATAACTACAGCCAAAATCATTATTAATAGCTAAAGTGGGAGCTTTGGAGTTCTGCATAGAAGAGGTTGGTATCACCCACTCTTTTATAAACACAAGCATTTATTAAAGAGATATAATAAAAGCAAACAGAGGAGAATACACTATATACAATCTAACTTAAAGGAACTAAATTAGAGGAAAAAGGTGTGTGTGTGTGTGTGTGTGTGTTTGCATGGGGTTTGCGTGCCAGGAAAGGTGTGTGTCCTTTGTCCTCTGACCAGATGTTTCAGGGTATGAAACATGTGTTGGTGAGAGACAAAGAGAATGGAGAAACGGGAGCGTTTGAGTTCCCTCTCCTCGTGTGTGTACTAGAGGTGTGAATTGTCACTGATCTCCCGATTCGATTACGATTATCATGTCAGCGATTCGATTCGATTTCTCGATGCATCATGATGCTTCAAATACATTTCTCTATTAAAGCCATATAGGATATTTGACTTGACGGAATGCATTAAGATACTGTATAGTTCAATATAATACAGTTTTCTATATTACTTCATATGGTTGTTTTCATCCAAAAATACAAGTAGTAAGATATAAACAATATTTTTTATTTAACAGTCTGAACACAGCAGACAGCACACACACACACACGCACACACAGACACACACACACACACACACACGTCTCCCGATCGTGTAATTAGACAGAGGGACAGTATTCAGTGTCTCAGCACTTTTCTCACCTATGATTGTGACCATGTCCAATGCTGCCGGAGTATTAGCTCCTCTGCTATTGTGTGATGGTTTTTTGCACCTTGAGATGTGGCAGTGTTTGTACGAGGCTAACGGTGCGTTTTTATTTACTGATGCCGCGCTCACTAAATGACCGGCCTGTTGGCGATACTCATCGAGCTTTCGATGAAAAAAGTCCAGTGGCCTATTGACATAACTGGGGTGTAAGGTCTCCAGGTGCCTTCTTAATTTGTTTGGTTTCATGCTGTCCGCTGCCAGAATTTTTAAACATAAAACACACACAGGTCTTTCCTCATTTCCGACCGTATTCACGGTAAACCCAGGGCTATGTAGGCTTTGTCGTATTTCCTGGTCTTATTACGTTTATGCCGGTTACCGTCACTTGCTGTTCTTGCCTCTGACGCCTCCTCCGTTTTTCTTTTTACTCCTGTCAGAAACTTCTCCATCTCTCCTCCCCCAGTCCCCTGCCTGTCGCGCCCCACTTTTGAAGTACTGGTCTAGATAAACGGGTTAGGCTATGAGAATGTTATTTTTCATTTGATGTTTATGCCGGGCCAAAAAACTGGACATCATTGCGTTATAATCAATTATGGTCGGCCACTGCATCGATGCAGCATCGTCCATGTCTGCATCGTGATGCATCGATTATTTGAATAATTTCAACACCTCTAGTGTGTAACGAGGTTTAGGCCGAGTGTGTGTGTGTGTGTGTGTGTGTGTGTGTGTGATTGTAGATTAACGGTGCCGTTAAAAGGGAGTTAATTGCATGCAAAGACGGTGTCTGTGTGAAGCATAACATTAAACTAACATCACCTTAGCACTGTCTGAAAGACTACAGTAACTTGCATTAATCAAATCGACATCACAATACCACAATAACCTGAATAACAGTAATTAAACAGTCCTTGTTTAGCCGTTAACTCTGTTAAGTTATCTGTCTATGCCCAGTACGTTACCGACGGTCCAAAGGAAGATGAAGAAGAGTCGCGGGTGCTGCGTGGATCAGCTGGACTGGCTGTGAGCCAGACTGATCAGAATTGTGATCTGAAGTCCAAACAGCCTCTGCTGTGCGATGTCCGGTGGCGCAGGTAACAAGGGGACAGGCGTTTCGTTTGTTGCTCTGCAGAGTTAACGACTCGGTCAGCTGGCAGACCTTCTGTCTAAAGCTGCAGATGTGTCTTCCGTTAGCAGTGCGCTGGTCAGGGATCCCAGGAGAAAGCAGGCTCTGGTGCTGTGCTATAATCCTTTGTCGTGCGTCGTCGGTGGGTTGGGCCGTGTCAGGGTCCAAAACTCATCACCCAGTGTGGTCGAGCGAGGTGAGCGAGAGAGCGAAGGGAGAAGAGAAGAGAGCGAGAAGAGCGTCTCTCGGGCTTCAATACCCGGGATGACAGGTCTGGGGTCCGAGGGAATCTGACCAATGAAGGGCCGGTGTTTGGGCGTTTATTGCTTTCATGCCACACCTTGGCCGCATTCTTGGCCCCCCGCTGAGGGGGCTGTGATCTGGCGCCTTTTTTCTTTGTCTTTAGTCACTACGAGCAGGCTTTATTGCTTACATAAAGGCCTCACTGTAGTAATGATCATTTCTTTGTTTAAACACATGGCCAGAACCCAACACTTGTATGTACAGACTGTGGCAACAAATTTCCTGAAAAGGACAAAGAATCTATCTATCTATCTATCTATCTATCTATCTATCTATCTATCTATCTATCTATCTTGAAATAATACATGAGCTATTTCATCCTCACCACATCCAGTTCAGGGACTGACTCCATCACCTCCACCAGCTTCTCTATCTTCGTGTCCTGCGTAAACACAAAGTCATCATCCACCCACAGGAAGTACTTGGTGGTCACCTGGGAGATGGCCAGATTCCTGCCAGCAAACCAGCCCTAAGGGAGGATACACGCTTCACATTTGGAATCTTTTATAATGTTCATTTTAGAGGAATGCAATCCAGATTATTGACTGATTATATGACAGTCAAACACTAGTCAAAGTAAAATAAAAAAGTTCAAATAGTGATCTGATTTGTTCCTGTTTTGATGTCAAAGTGTGGTAAAGCTTATTCTGCAAATGCTTTAAACAAATGGAAAAAACTGTTAAATACATCAAATGATCATCTGTAAATAAGTTTATATTCATGCTTACCTATAATGATACATAAAGTATTAGACAGCAATATTCTGCTGAGAAACCATGGGTCCTGCCATTCATGTGGATGTTACTTTAACATGTACCAACTTCCTAAGCATTGTTGCAGACCATTCATGGAAATAGTATTCCGTGATGGCAGATCCATGGAGGCCCCACCTCACAATTTACAGGACTTAAACGATCTGTGTCATATCAATATGTAATATTTCTTTAAGGGAGTTTGGCATAATATATTCCAGGTGCAGAGAGCTCAGTTTAAAGACTGCTTTGTCTATTTTTTTTTAATGGTTGAAAGCATGCATAAAAATGCACACCTTTTGTCGCATATAATTTCTCCATAAATCCCATTTTGGCTATTTATTTTTTGCATAGCAACCTCTGTAAATGAAGCCCCTGGTCTTAACAGATATTTTAGTTATTTTTATATATATATATATATATATATATATATATGATTAATTAAATTGACTGACACACAAAGGCCACTTTAGTCCAACCTGTCAAATATTTGGATCGTTTTTTCTGTTCAGATGTGGTCAAGGTGTTATATGTGTTGATATAATAAATTAATGTATGTGTGTGTGTGTGTACCTGCGCTGGAGGCATGATGTACTGCTGGATGTGTTCTCCAGTAATGTGCTCTGGTTCAAAGCTGTCATCTGCAATGATGACTTCTATGTTGCTATAGAAACTCCGGATGCTATTCAACAACACCTTGAGTTGTCTGTAGCGCAGGAATGTCTTTGTAGTGATGGTGACTTGAGAGCTGATATCTGACAGACAGAGAAGTAGGCAAAAAGTTATTTCAAGAAAAAAGACAAGGCGATAAGACACAGTGTAGCATGAACAGCATACACTTCCAGAGAAGGTAATTCTCCTCTATGGTCGCACCAACAGCAAACTCAACATCGTTCAACATCTATCAAGCTTGTCTTGAGTTGTTCACAAAGAACAGACAAAAAAATGGCGCAAATCCCCCAACTAAGGATACACTGGTTCAGCCCCTCGAAAGAGCAGTGTACTAAGAAGGACACTGTTGGGCACAAGCACTTGAGTTGGCACCAAATATCTCAAACAGTCTTGGGTTGGATGAGCCTCAGCTACAAAGGGCCATTGTGGTCAACTCTTCCACAGGCAAGCTAGTCCATCCTTGAACTCTCATGTGCTGGCTGCAAGCAAGGTTGCTGGAATCACTGAAAATGCGAAAAAAGCATCCTAATGTTGACTTTAAAAGAAGGCAAAAATAATTACCAATGTCGTAAACAGCGTTTCACAAAGTTTATAAAGTTTCTCTTTATCATTCATTAACTCTCCATAGTGTGTGTGTGTGTGTGTGTGTGTGTGTTTTTAAGTCTGAGTCTGACACGTAATTTGCATTACAGTGTGCTTAGTTGTAAGTGTGAATATTGTTCTACTCTTTATAATCACTGTATGGTTCAGGGTTCATGTATGCAACAGACATGATATTATAAAGTCTACTCATAGTGCTGCTGGGCTGCGTGGGAATGAGTGAGGAAATCAGGATCCGGTTGAAATATATATATGTATACATTTTTTAAGCACTAGAAGATCCAATCATCACTAAAGTGTATGTCATGCACACCGTTACCGGTAATGTTTCTGTCCATGATGCGTTCACAGTGTAACAAACTGGACGAACTTGAGCTACTGGTAGAGAAAAACAGAGACTTCTCTTCATCTTCAATGTTATGCTGCACGGAAACCTGGTTGTCGGGGAAATTCTTCCATAATCTGGAGAGGTGCTAGATCTCTGAAGAATTACAAACCTAGGGGGATTAATCAAATTCCTTTACTCATGCAGCATGAAGGGAAGACCACAGCATAGACGTTCCCCCCAGACTTCGAGAATGCTTTGCCTTATATACCCAACACATCATTAAACAGGATACAGCTGTTGTCCTAGCTACATTCCTAATCTATTTTACACATGGACGGTTGAGGTCTTTCACAAATGGTCCTGTGAGCTGACCCTGTGACTGTGTGTGACCAACTGCTGACCGGTCGTTTCCTACCATAAAACACAACCCCTGACCAAACCGTATACATTAACTCCCCTACCTAAAACATTCATCTACCACATGGTTGTGTCAATCGATACCGGACAGCTGGCCGTCTTCCAACTGTATGCACCATGACACAGGACTTTCCAGGAATACAAAAAGTTGGGGTATCTGTTACTTTACTAACAGTGACTCATGTAATGATTGATTCAGTAGCACTGCTCTCTTTATAGGTGCTTACGCAACCTTCGCAACAAGCTACAACTTAGCCGTGCAAATAGCACTACACCTCTGATTCAAGTTATCATGTTTGGTTCAGGAAATGCAAAATACATCATTTGGGTATGGCGGAAAGTAAAATGGCTATCATGTCCACCAAAAGGCGTTTTTGGATTTGTTCCATTTCTGAAAATGTATCACCTTGACTTTTAACCCCCAGAGCGCCACGATAAGTTTACTCCTACCTGTTCCCATGTCGTATAGGACTGGCACCTGAGGCTGTTTGATGGTAATGGGAAACACGGCTTCATGCTTGTCAAACTGGAAGGAGGCTGAGTACAGAAGAGGACAGAATTCTGACATTTAGAAAACAAGGTGGACTCGAACTAAGTGTCATGGCTATGGCTGTATCCTTGCCTTTTCCTTGTGTTTCCCCCTCCCTTGTGTCTCCTGTCTGTGTGTTGTAGGTGTGGTTTCCCCTCCTGCCTTCCAGCTCTGCTCCACACACCTTTCTGCCATGAACTCATCAACTCTCCCAGTCTGCTCACCTGCCTTCAATAAACTCATCTATCAAACAGTATATCTACCCCAGTGTTCCATCTATTTAGGGCCAGAGCATTCTGTTTTCTGTTGTCAGTGTGCCGGTGTCTGTCTTCCATGGAAGTTACACTTCACCTGCGTTCGTGTCTGCCAACCGGCCTCTCTGCCTGCCTATAAGCCTGCCATCTTCAGTAAGTTATCACCATTGCCATCACCCTTTTATCTGAAAACAAAAGCACTTAACTTCACCAAACTGGATCAGTCTTTGCATTTGGGTCCACACCTTTATCCACTATAACACTAAGATCCCAGTGAATCTAAGAACAATACACAGATTGCACAAACACTGACATTTTTCACTTATTTTAACAAGAAACACAGATACACATTTATTCACACACATTATTTTTGATTACATTTACTATCAGGTATGATAAAGAAAATAAAGTACAATATGACATGTAATGCAACTGAGTATAGACTTTTCACATAAAGATTCTGTTTCAATTTCTTGGATACATACCGAGATCTCCAGTGTGTATATGGTAGACAGTGCTGGTATAGGACACTTTAGCCAGCAGGTTGTTGAGGATCACCAGGCTGCTAGACTCTATAATCAATTTTGTCTCACCATGACCTGTTGGTTTTTTGCCACAACATAGATTTTTTTTTTTTTTTTTTTGAATATTATGATTATAACACAAATTACTCTAATGCTTGACAACTGCAATATTCATATTATTCTGTTTGCTGCTGCTACCAAACACATATACAATAAAAGCCTTGTTAACGAATGAATTAAGTGCACAGAAATGTGAGACAGCTTTTAATCTAAAACAGATACAAGTGTTGAATTTAAAGTCGTAACATTATGAGAATGAAGTCGTAATTTTATGAGAACTGTCAGCCCGTTGGCTCAGCCAGCAAAACTGTTTAACGACAAAATTATCAATACGTTAGCTTACCTGTTGACTGTACAGTACGACTGAGACAAACAGCGGCAGCTGGGCTCAGGCTGAGGCTGCTGTTTGGTGGAGCTGGTCACGTCAGATCTTGATAACTCTATCGAAGCTTTTTCTCATTAAAACAACTTTTTTTCTTGTATTATTACTTTATTCTCGTAATATTATGACTTTATTCTCGTTATATTACGACTTTATTCTCGTAGACATAATATTATGACTTCTCGTAATTTCCCCCTAAAAAGTCTCTTAGTATGGCCCTAATACTCTGTAGTACAGATATAGACACTAAAACTGCAGTGAAAGGTGTAGATGTATATAATGTTGCTGTAAGTATGAACGGATCATTTTCACTGTCTATTTCTGCTGGGAACCGCATGTGGCTTACAAAAATAGGTGAGACCTTGACTCTCTAGTGAAGCAACACTGCAGCCACACCCGAGACACACCTGGGTGCTCAACCCTGTCATCATGGGACAGTCTGCGACACACCCAACCTATCAGAGTGTCTAGGCATGGCAGCAGAGCAGAGGGAGAGCTGGGAAATTTTGCAGCTTAAATAGCCCTCCAGATTGGAGGAGTGTGCTTGATAAGTGATTACAGAGTGCGAGATATGTCCTGTTTGTGTATAGCAGCTTGAGTTGACTGCCTGAACTAGCTCGCTGGCTTCAATCATTTATTTACATATTCACATGTTTAAATCTTTGCACTGGCATCTCTGAAACAATATTGTGCTGAATGTACCCCTGTGTCCTGCATGCTCCCAGTCTGTGCAGTCAGCTAATAGGACTCAGGAACTACATCTATAAACTAGTTAGTTCTGCTATTGCAATCTCACCTTGGATCTTCACCCCTTCAGATGGAATCTCTGTGGTCAGGATGCCTTTGGATACATGCAAGGATACCTAGAGTAGACACATTTGAATAAACTGCAGAGCACTAAAGTACACATACCTCCATACTGCCCTACCAAGCAAAACCGCAGTAACTACAGTTTTGGTCAAAATAGTCTTGTTCCATCTTGGGGAATGCGGTGTAAAAATTGCAGTAACTACAAAATCCAACCTAAAACCAAGTAAGAGTACAGTTACTAACAATAGCTTGGATATTACTGAGCTAGCGCTAGCTAGATAGGACAAAGGATTACTGTACCTCACAATTAAACCTCACAAAATAATACTACTTGGCAATCTATTTCTATTTGTTACACATGAAACAAATACAGATTTAATAATGTAATAAAACATTAAATTAGATTTTGTCAGGAAGAAGACATTGATGATGATTTTTAAGCCATAAAAATTATTTGGATAATACATATGTAATGAGCACATAACCACATCCCATTCTACATAAAACGCATTTGGCTGGCCAGTCAAAAAACTTTAAAGCCATTTTTCTCAGTTTCACTGTTAGCGTAGTAAGGCTTTGTAGGGCAGCATACCTTTTTGAACAATATTTTTGTTGTGTAATATATGGATTGGGATTGATATCTAATTACACATGCTAGGGTGCAGATTTTCATAAATTTGGTAATATCAATTTTAACACCAGCATGAACGTAGTACCTCTTTAAATATAATTATTTGCTTGCAAAATAAACATTTGCAAGTATGCAAAAAGTTCTCTTTGGGCACCAGACTATTGGTAGCAATTTGTTTATGTAATGCTTCTCCATTTTCAACGTATTCATTTGACAAGACGGAAGCAGGCCAGTCCCACACCAAAGCCACAATATCAGAGAATCAAAGGAAGCAAGAACAGAGCCCCACTGTTTGTAGAGGAAAGAGCAGCCATGTTGGCATAGAGCTTTCTGTGCACAGCTAGCACAGGCTGCAAGTTATGCAGCTACTGTACACCACTGACCTTAAAGTCAGGATCCATCGGTTAAGAGATTTTGAAAGCCAATGATTGTGCAGTCTCATTCAATTACATTCTACAGTCACCTTTGAATGTTGGCTATTGAGGAAAAGGATGTTACTCTGACAGCCTGACTAGAATACAGATATGGATTTGGCACAAAATGAAAAACTGAACTTCAAAGTAAAGCTCAATAAATGTTGACTTTCAAAATCAGACCTGTACCGCGTAGCTGTGTTGACGTTTCTGCCCCTAGATCCAAGGTTAAGACCAAGATGGCTGCTGTACAATGATGTTTAATGACGTTTTGGAACAGTATCCACCGTAGTAATATTGGCACAAAGCCACTTAATCATGCTATAATTAAGTTATTTCAATAGACACAACTTTATCTTCATTATTATACAGTATGGTTTTCTGGGTGTTTCAGCAAATGTGTCATCTTCATTAAGTGCTATATAATGCAATACCATACTGTGTTCAATGTGTTTATATGTAAAATCTTGAATTATTTAAGGGTGTGTTTTTTTTATTTATTTAATTTTATTTTATTTTTTAATGAATTTTCAAACATTCAGCAGCCATTTGGTATCAACCACCCAATCTGTTGGTTGCTGATCTGTTGCATCCATCTATGGGATCAAACCAACCTTGTAGCTGCTTCTGTGTCCTGCATGCAGTGCTAAACCTGGAACCAAAAGATACTATCCTTTTTAATGACAGACACACATCTATCTCAGGCTTTGTGAAACAACATTATGAGATTATTTTACCTGATATTCCAGACATGTTAAATTCAAGACTTGACTAAATCACTACTGACTATGATTTAGTTCTGTTTGTGGTGATACATTTCTGTGTACCAGGTTTAGCTCAAAGATTCTGTGATTATTTTTCATTGTGTTTTCTACGATTAAGATGAACCCAAACTGCTTCAACTTGTTGTTGTGTCATTTTGTATGGTATATTAAAAACTTCAAATAGATAAAAATGCTCTCTGGACTATGTATAGAGTATAACATAACATACCTGGTATGAGAGTGGGGGTCAAAGGTCGTACAGTAAAACCCTGGGTGGGATACTGCAGAGGAGAGTTAGGCAAAGCAAATAGCAGTTTGGATAATTCAGATGGTGACCTGTTGAGGAGATTGGAAAGAGTGAGGGATGTTGGTGGTGAGGGGGAAAACAAACATGCATTGTGTGTTGCAGGAGATTTACATAAAACAAACTGCTAATATAGTAATACTCTTTGGCCCCTTTTCCACCAAAGTATCTCGCGCCATCTAGTCAGCCTGTATTTCCACCAGTTGTGAGTGGAACCATTGTAATCAGATGCATCATCAGTGTTGCACAATCCACAACCACCTGCAGAATCTGACATGCTGGCATTGAAACACACACAAATTCTATTCTCAGGGGCCAGTTGTTCAAAACATTTAATCTGGATCAAAATGATCCAGATCTGGAAATCCCATTTTTTGCTATTCAGGATCAGGTAATCAGTCTTACTTTTATGCCGGTTTTTCACAGCAACATTGGACTGGATCACCCTGATCCAGATACAGTATTCAAGATTACCAAATCTGGATTACCAGTGCTTTAAATGGGACAACATCACAATGTGGGCTACCAACTATGTAAAGAACAGGTAGAAGAGCCAACATGGGGTCACTGTAAGTGTTTATTATTTTGAGACAAAACACAAATGACAAACATCCACTTCCATTCATAATTTCTTTTATGACCCCTCATCTGAGCCACAACAAATAAAAAAAAAAAAAAACTAATATACATTAACAATTACATTGTGGATATTTTGAAAAAGTCTTAAATTAAAAAAGGCTAAATGTCCAGTAGTTAACAAAATAAAATTAAAGCTGCAAGCAGCGATGGATGGGACCTCGCACTCCACGCAACTCGGGGCATGCTGCGGCTGCGTCACGTGCCGTCGTAACACGTGCGGACCACGACATGAAAATCTCACGTATATCAGCTCAAAATCTCCATGCAGCACTTACTTCCTGTTGCCACTAGGTGGCGCTATCACTATGTGTTCAGGGCGGGACTCTTATCAGACCTGTGAAGTTTGGAGCCGATTGGCCAATGTACACTCAAGTTATAGCGAATTTGTGTTTAGTGGCGGTACATCAACATTTCCTGCCACACCACAGACACGCCCCCTCACCACAGTCAACACATATCATCAACAATGTGTTTTGCATTTCATAAGTAAATTTCAGCTGGATCTGATCATCCTGCTAGGAGTAGAACATGAAAGTATAAAACGTGATACTTCCTGTTGCCACTAGGTGGCGCTCTGACTATTACCGAATATTATCACATAGACATGTTCAGGGCGGGACTCTTATCGAACATGTGAAGTTTCGTTGCAGTCGGATCATGTACGCAGAAGTTATGACGAATCCCTCTTTCATGGCAAAGGTTTGAAATTGGATGCCACGGGCACAATGTTGGACGAAAAAAACTGACTGCACTGACCAATTTTGAAGTAGATCTGATAAATTCCCTAGGAGGTTTGTTTGTTCAAATAGAAAAACAAGAAACCAGACAGACGTTCAAAATGGCCAACTTTGACAGCACGCCACGGACACACCCTTCAACGTACAGTCATAAAAATAGAACAACGTTCATAATCAGCACCATGTATTCAAGTGCACTGACCAATTTTGAAGTAGATCCAATAAAACCTGTAGGAGGAGTTAGTTAAAATAGAAGCCCTGAAATGCCAAAAATTACATCAGTGTGACATGCCTTCAAAATGGCCAACTTTGACAGCTTGCCACGGACACACCCTTTAACGTACAGTCAAAAAATGAACAGCGTTCATTCAGCACCATGTTTTGACTGCACTGACCAATTTTGAAGTAGATCCAATAAAACCTGTAGGAGGAGTTAGTTAAAATAGAAGCCCTGAAATGCCAAAAATGACATCACAGTGTGACATGCGTTCAAAATGGCCAACTTTGACGGCACGCCACGGACACGCCCTTCAACGTACAGTGAACAAATGAACAGCGTTCATTCAGCACCATTTTGTGACTGTACTGACCAATTTTGAAGCAGATCCCAGAAATTCCCTAGGACGAGTTTGTTCAAATGCAAGGCGAAAATTCACCGAAAATGACCACGGACTTAAAAATGGTCAACTTTGACGGCACGCCACGGACACGTCCTTCAATGTACAGTTACAAATTGAAGAGCGTTCATTCAGCACCATGTTTTGACTGTACTGACCAATTTTGAAGCAGATCCGATAAATTCCCTAGGAGGAGTTCGTTCAAATACAAGCCCAAAAAGTCAAAATGACCACAAAATTATGAAAATTAAAAATTGAAATTGCAGACTTCCTGTGGGTTTTGGGGCATGGGTCCAAGAGGCTTTTCTGCTTCTTTTATCATGATACACATGCGATGCAATAGGGTCCTTGCACTTGTTAGTGCTCGGTCCCTAATAAAGAATGTTCAGGGTTCTTCATCTGAGGAGGAGAGACCAGCATTTTCAAGCCCTGCTTTTAGGAGGAAGATCTGAAGTTTCGCTTTGGTTTGCTGCAGTTTGGTCAGCTTGATTTGTTCCTCTGCCAGGAGTATCTGTGCTTCTGCTCTTTCAGTTTCTTGTTTAAGAAGTGATTCGTAGGCATCATTATTTGGCAAAGGATGTTTCAAGCCTCTTTTCTGAGCTCCTGTGACTGCTGGCTCTACCAGTGAGGATCCAGGTTGTTCTTCAGTAATAGGGCTGAGATCCAGAATAAATGGTTCCTCTGCATTAGGAGGAACTGGCTTTCCTCTACAATCGTAGGCTTACCATCCCCTACATGACCTTGAATCTAATGTCCAGAACCACATCTGTGTATTCACCTTTCTTAAAGAGTTTGTTGCCTGTTTGGGTGTTTTTTGCTTCAGCAAGCTTTGTTGCTCTGATTCTTCCATCTAAATTTCACTTGCTCCAAGGTCCTCTTCTGGCCAGACCCCATTGCATTCACATTCTGGGTGATTTCAACTCAAATGTCTTTCTTCCTTTTGTTAGTTACCATTCCACCCACAACAGAGCTTCCATTGAAGCTATTGAGGCATAATGGCACTTAACACCCTCCAGCAGTGCATGGGTTTCTGCAACAGTGAAATTAGGTCCTTTTGAGTCCATGGTTCCACCTCATCTGTTGTAGTGAACATAGTATTTATAGTCCTTGGGCACGATTGATTGATTTAATTGAACACAAGCCAAAGCACGTCAGCAAATGGGTGGGTGGGTATTTGACAGCCATCTTATATTCAGCCTTTCTCAGGACTTAGAGAGAGGTACTGACATGGCAGGTATTGTCCATCGCTACCACCATTCTGGTGGAAGAGGATACCGTCAAAGGGTGTATGTTGAGCGTGCAAAACCACTGGAGCAATACACCACTGAAGAACTGTATGCTCTCTTTCGCTTTGGGAATGCCGATTACGTACATTGCAGACCTTGTCAGGCCAAACTTCAACGGAGAACCCGAAGGAGTCACAGTCTATCTGTGCAAGAAGAGCTCCTCATTGGTCTGCGCTTCTATGCATCTGGGACTTTCTACCAAGTTGTTGGTGACAATATAGGAGTGGACAAATCAACTGAGTGATGTAGTGAAAGCTGTGTCAATTGCATTGATCAGCCTTGTCAATCAGTTTGTTTCACTTCCAAAGGATGACCAGATTGCCCAGACCAAGCTTTTTCTTTTGGGGAACATGCCCAATACTATTGGGGTTATTGACTGCACTCGTGCATATCCAAGCACCTCATGAGAGGGATTGGGAGTACATCAACCGAAAGGGGAGGCGCAGCATCAACATCCAACTTGTGGGCAACGCTGACCTCATCATCACAAACTGTCATGAAGTGGCCTGGGTCTGTTCATGATGCACGTATCCTGAGGGAGAGTGCTTTATACAGAGAGCTCCAAACCAACCGGCTGGATGGCATAATATTAGGAGACAGTGCCTATCCACTCCTACCATGGCTGATGACTCCTTTTCTTGCAGTAACCACACCTGCGCAGGCACGCTTCAACACTGCTCATTGTAAAACAAGATGTGCAATTGAGCGTTTAAATTGAGTTCTGAAGGGACGCTTTGCATGCCTTAACTACTTGCGAGTGGAACCACAGGGAGCATGCAACATAATACTTGCGTGTATGTCCCTCTCTGTGATGTTTATGATGCCTGTTGAAGAACCAGACCAAACTCTGGAGTTCTGTCGGAATGAGGGACTGACTAGACGTGTAGTAAGGGATGCAATTGTTAGAAATTATTTTTGACAGGTTCATCTCTGATTGTTTCTTTTAAATTAATATACAGTGATTGACAGAAAAATTTAATATTATATTTGTTTATTGAAATCTGTTTTGGGGGATTATTTCACGGGGACAAGATCATTTTTATTTTTTACTTTACTACACTGAAAGCCTTAATTGGTAGCCTATGTCTACTTTATCTACTTTATTACTGTAATGGTTAAACAAGTCAAGTGCAAAATATAAATAAAAGTGTATATACACTAAATAATACAAATGTATCCGACCAATTTTAAGGTTTTACTACATTTTCTTCCTGGAATCCACCTTGACATCCTACCCCCTGTTGGGATCAGGATAATCGTGTGTGTGTGTGTGTGTTTTTTTTTTTTTTTTTTTTTTTTTTTTGGATCAAAGTTATCCAAATCCTACTGCCAAGTTTTGAACAACACAAACTGAAGGTTTGATCCAGATTAAAACTAGGACTGGATTCCGTGATCTCATCTGATTTCAGATTCCTTCTTTCCTTTTTGAACAACCCATTTTCAAGATTTGATCCAATCTCATGACCAAAATCCGATCAGCTTACCTTTTGAACTGGCCGTAGACGATGTCTTTTGTGTTCAAATAATATAATTTCATTCAATACCTGTAAAGTAGGGGCCTCTGTTTTTTTGCATAGTTTTAAAATGAGCTTCTTATACATGAAGGAGAATATAATCTGCCATCCCAAAGGATATCTAATTTCTTTCAACATTCTGAAAAATACACATCAGCTGCAAACTGAATTTTTGTTTTACAGTGAATAGAAACCATTCTTGGCTTTCATGCCACGCTTTGACTTTTGTACAGACCCAG